TGTGCATTGCAGAGGCCACATTTGGAGCCCTTTGTTACGGCTGACAAATGTGCTTCTTACATAACTTCGTGGATTCAGGCTGGCATGGAATCTTTTATTCCCTCTCGACGATTCCAGGTCAAGCCTCACTCTTCTCCTTGGTTTTCCTCACATTGCGCTGCAGCAATTTCTAATCGAAACCGTTACTTCCATATCTATCAGCAAAACAATTCTCCAGAAAACAGACATCTGTTCACTATCGCCAGAAACCATTGTAAAAAGGTTTTGTCTGACGCCAAAGCTCGGTATTCCCAGGTCATTAAATCTCGTATCTCATCACAAAAATTAGGCTCTCGAGACTTCTGGAGAATCTTTAACAGTATCAATAATAAGGGCAAATCTGTTATTCCTTCTCTCTTGTATGGTTCAGACTTTGTCACCTCACCTAAAGACAAAGCTGAATTGTTTGCTAAGAACTTTTCATCAATATCATCTCTTGATTCCACTAGTTGCGTTTTACCTGACATAGCCGTCAAACAGGTTGATCCCTTGCTTGACATTCGCATCACTTCAGCTTCTGTATCTAAAGTAATTTCCTGCTTAGACTCTTCAACAGCTTGTGGTCCTGACAACATTCCTGTTGTAGTTTTGCAGAGGTGTTCTCCGGAGCTTTCATCCATACTTTCTAAACTATTTAACAAGTGCTTATCAGAGTCTTGTTTTCCATCATGCTGGAAAGCAGCATCTGTTATCCCTATTTTCGAAAATTACGGAGAGCGATCTGATTCATCTAACTACCGTCCCATTAGTCTTCTTCCTGTCATAAGCAAGGTTTTTGAATCTTTAATCAACAAACACTTAATCTCTCATCTTGAATCAAATAACTTACTTTCTGACCATCAATATGGATTTCGGTCTTCTCGTTCTACAGCTGATGTGCTAACAGTAATAACCGATAGGTTTTACCGTGCATTAGATAGAGGTGGAGAGGTTAAGGCTATCGCACTTGACATTTCTAAAGCTTTTGATAAAGTTTGGCATGCTGGTCTTCTCCATAAGCTTTCTTCTTATGGTGTAGCTGGTAACGTCTTTAAGATTATTGAGTCCTTTCTTTCCAATCGTAGTATAAAAGTTGTCCTCGATGGACAACACTCTTCTTCACATCCTGTAACTTCAGGGGTTCCTCAAGGTTCAATCCTTGGCCCTATACTCTTTTTAATTTACATTAACGATCTTCCAGATATTCTCACATCTAAGGTGGCATTATTCGCTGACGACACTACCATTTACTCTTGTCATGATAAGAAGCCTACACTCTCTGATTGCTTGGAGGGGGTATCTGAGCTTGAAAAGGATCTCACTTCTGCTACAGCATGGGGCTCACAGTGGCTGGTGAACTTTAATTCAGATAAAACTCAATTTTATTTGGCCAATCGTTATCGTAATAATTTAGATCTTCCTATATTTATGAATGGTAATGTACTAGATGAGTCATCTACCATTCATCTTCTAGGATTAACTCTTACTTCTGATCTTTCTTTTAAACCGTATATCAAATCCATTGCAAAATTAGCATCTGCTAAGGTTGCATCTCTTTATCGAGCTCGACACTTTCTTACTCCAGATTCTATTCTCTATCTCTATAAATCTCAAATCCGTCCCTGTATGGAATACTGTTGCCACATCTGGGGCGGATCTTCTAATGATGCTCTTTCTCTTTTAGACAAGGTGCAAAAACGAATTGTAAACATAGTTGGACCTGCTCTGGCAGCCAATCTCCAACCTTTGTCACATCGTCGTAATGTTGCTTCTCTTTCTCTTTTCTACAAATACTATAATGGGCACTGCTCTAAAGTGCTAGCGTCCCTTGTGCCATTTACTAAAATTCATTCTCGTGTTACTCGCCATTCAATTAAGTCTCATCCTTTTTCTGTGACTGTTCCTAAGTGCTTCAAAAACTCTTATTCTTCTAGTTTTTTTCCTCGAACATCAGTTCTTTGGAATTCGCTTCCTTCATCTTGCTTTCCTGATTCATATAATTTGCAATCTTTTAAGTCATCAGTCAATCATTATCTTGCTCTACAGATTTAGTCTTTTCTCTTCCAGTAACTTCCAACTCTTATAGTGGTTGCTTGCAGCCTTGTTGGAAGTGAAGATGTTAAAAAAAAAAAAAAAAAAAATAATATACATATCTATATATAGACAAAAAAATATTTAAAAAACATAAGAAATAAAAAAATAGAATTATAAAAAAAAAGTTTCTCAAATGAAGATTTGAATCTCCGGCCCTGTCGGCCACGCCTCGTAAAAATTTCACATCCATACAAGTATGCGTATATGACAAATATAATATTACAAAGTAAAAATTAAAGTATTTTAATGTTTTTTGCTGACAAATAAAATTTTTTAATATAAATATTATTTGTACGCGCGTATAAATGACTTCCTAATAGTAATGCGCAATTCACAAAAATAAATAAAATAATTCATAATATAGAGTTAATAACTTATGCAATTAGTAATAGTATAATTAGTAATAGTATTACAATTTAAGTATAAGCGTTGTATTAGTATAGTTAGTATTTGTATAAGTGTTTCATCATATTTGTGAAACGACATGCCTTGCTTTGCCGATTTGTGCATCCGTATGCACAGCACGAAATATATTTCGTACCATATTACCATATTTCTTCAATTTTTCAAGAAGAAATAGTTGCTCCTTAAAATTTAACAGCTAAAGCCTTTTTGAAAACTTAAATTCAGTTAATATGAGTCATATATTCCTATGTAACGCTTTCAGAAATCAAGATTTTTGCCATACCGCAAGATGGCGGACACCTACTTCAATTTTTAAGCTAAGTCACGCATCTATTTATATTTATACGTCATGGTTGCTACAGTCGATTTGCCATTTTTAACCCCCAGTTCAATTTATGTTGATACGCTACGAAATGTTTGAAATTCTTTCCAAAATTTATGGGCTTGTGAGACGAATCCGTTAAATACATAGATTTTTCAGAGAAGGTTTTCATTTTTCCAAATAAAATATAAGCATAATTATCCATAATTATAAACATAATTATGCTGGTCAAATATAGCACTTCGTGAAAAAAATGCAGACGAAGGGTACTTGATCAAAGGTATCCAGTCGCTTCCGTGTTTCTGAAAATTAGGAAGAATTTATTAAATCGCACAATAAAAATAAAAATTTTAAATTAATTACTAATTAATTACTAAAGAATTAGCTTATATTAAAATGATAACAATAACTTAAAAGCTTTATTAGAACACACTTATGAGCGCTTATAAGCTTTTATAATCTTTTCTGTCTTGAAAACGTAAAAACTGCATTAAAGAATCAACAAAGATGAAACTTATTTATAATCAAAAAAGTAATGATTTAAAGCAATCTACTTTTAAATAAAGTTTTCTAACGGCAATAGCTCCTATGCAAATATTTTCCAATCAAAACTAGTACCTCCTCACCTGACTTGTCTAAATAATTATATGATAATTTGCAACGATCCGTCGTTTTATAATATATAGGTTTGCTTCTTTTTTAAAGTTAAATCAAGGGTATAAAATTAACATAAATTATTTTGTGTTTACTGTTTAAATACTGTAAAACTATACTTTGAGCTGTATTCATGGTATCTTTTCCCACTCTGTATAAAATGGTTGTGCATCGTTAAATCTTTCTTGATAACTTGATGAAGCCATGTTTTCCATAACTCTTTCTCTGAGAAATAACATAATGAAAAAACTTCTTTTCTTTGGTATAATTGTTGCAGCACAATGGTATGCAATAAGTAATTCCTCAACTTTTTTAATTCTACAAGGCAATTTTTTTTGGCTAAATACAAAGTTTTTCAAAGATGAGAAACTGCATACTTCTAAGGAAAAATTGATGTTTCACTTTTGAACTGAATCAAAACAACTACTTTTTCATTCTTTAAAGTTGCATTTGAATCCATTTTATTTGATTATAGTAAATATGGCGACATGTATTCCATTTGTGTTTGTTGGCATCATATGATATATAATTAACAAATATATAGATTTTTTTTTTAATTTATCCTCCTTTTACATTACAATCCTCATACAAATATAAAAAAAGGAAAAGTCATAAAATTTTTAAGAATATAAGATTCCATCATAAAATAAATGAGAAATTACAAACAAAGATTTTTTTAATTATATTTTTTCTTAGAAATATAATTTAAAAAATCCAGAAACTCAAAAAAAATACGAGGACTTAATTCCGAAGGTTGTTAATACGTTAAAAAGAACACAAAATCTTTTCACTGAGAACGGCTAAAACTATAATGTTAAGTAATTGCTCGTTGGTAAAAAAATGGAGATTTAAATGAAAAAAAAATTTAATTAGATAAACATGGTGATTTGATACATGAAGTTACACCCGTTAGAATACCTTCGAACAAAAATATATTGGTAAAAACAATAATGCATTGCTTGAATTACGCAAATAAAAACTCATTTTAACTTGAGTTACCCTTCATACTATAAACGCTATCTTTGTAAAACCTCTAATTTTTTAAATCATTACCCGTGTTGGGTGTCCTTTAAAAAATAAATAGGTAACAGAAACTATGATTCATAATACTAGAACTCAGTTGCACCAGTACAATACCATATCAGTATGCCGTCATTTCAGTATACCATCATATTAGCGTGTTACCATTAAACTATTTTTAACTACCACGCAAATTCATAAGCAACATCAACTAAATCCTAAAATACACAAATAAAAGTTGTCTAAACCTTTCTAAATCGAAGTGTATCTAATTACACCTTTTTACTACAGTAAATTTAAGTGCTTTATTTGTTATCGTACATTATTGCTGTTATTTTTTAATGAATTTTTATTTTCTATTTACAGATTATAAAGATAAATTTGTTTTGAAATGGCTTAAAACATTATAAATAGTATAGTCTGCAGACTGATAGACATTGACAAATATTATTGTATTATTGTAGAAAAATATATTTTGTCTCATTTGATGCTAATTGAAGTTGTAACCAAAAACTTTGTAGTTGTGTTAATATTTTTATAGTTACAAATAAAATACTTTATGCATTTACAGCAATAAATGTTTTAATACCATTGAAAACGTAAATGCTTAGTATAAACAGACACTTGCCACGTTCTTTAGCGTTGAAAAATATCTTCCGTCGTTTTTGTAAGTTTGAGTATTATATTTTTACATTTGCTACAGTTTTTCAAAAGGTTAAGTTAAAATGCTTTTGTGCATCGATTTTTTTTTTTTTTTAATTTTTTTACTTAGGCGCCCCAAGAAGTTTTTACGGTCTTATTATAGAGCACCGCCGATGAACATTTAATAGGAAGTTCATGCCTCCTTCCTAACCGATTTCGCGAAACTTGCCCAGATGTGGGGTTTGAACGACGGACCCTTTGTTTCTGAGGCAAGTGCTACCACTTGCGCCACGGCTGCTCATTTTCAGTATGAAGTTTTTTATATTAGCTCTTTTTTTAAATTAAAATTTCTTAATAAAGAATGATTTAATTATTTTAGACACAATGATGAAATTAACTACATTATTAATATTTTAACTCAATTATATTTGTAGTATCTGGCAAGGTGTTACATGCGTTAGCAATGCGGTTGTTACAAAATTTTAAACTAAAATGTTGCTGTATCATTCCCGGTGAAGTCTTTTCCTTTGATTCCAATTGCACACTTACAAGTGGTTGTTCTATTGTAGTTCTGGTCATTTTCTTGTAAGGGCCCATTTTATCTATTGAGTGCTCAAAGGGAGTAATATTTTTTAGCTAAAGTACGTAATTTTGCGTTTCTTTAGGTTTAACTCCATGACCAAGTACTTGGTCTAATAAAAAAATTGATTGATGTCTGCTTAGAGTTGAAGTTGAGCAGCAAGTATATTCATAATGCTAAGGATTTTGGAGTCACAAATTTGCAAGATGCTGATTGCATCTTACAAATGTTTTTTTATTACATTTAGCAGATCGTTGATGAAAATGACAAATTAAATTGAACCCAAGACTGATACTTTGCGGAATGCTATTACTCATAAGTAAACAGTTTGAATGAGTATTACTAAGGATAACTTGATAAATGATATGTTGGTTAGAAAAGCTTTGATTCAATTGAAAATATTAATTTAAATTTTGTAAATTTTTAGCTTGTAGATTATTTATTGATGTGGAACTTGCGAAAATGCTTTTGCAAAATCTAGAAATACGACGTCAACAGTTGATATCGTATCAACAAATACTCTACGAGCTAAAAATTCACAAAATTTACAATACCAATTACTAGTAGTTTTTTTCACTTTTTCTATGGTAGCTTAAGTTTTAAAAGTTCTTTGTGTGAGCTCAAAGGCTAACCCAAATCAAAAAGATTAAATAAATATTAAAAGTAAACTCCTTTTACTTATTGATGATGTTTTCAGCAGAATTGAATTTTATGATATTTCAGTTGTATTATTTTAAAGATCACAAGAACATTTTTTTTAACAAATCTGTGCGATAAAATACGAATAGGGTTATCTTGCGTAGCTTGTGAACGATCGGAAAATGCAGATCAACTAATGTGCGCAATCAGCCAAATTTTCGCAACACGTTTTAAAGTTAGAATTTCTGGAATATTTTTTGTATTGTTCAATAAGTATTTTTTTGGTGCGGTCTCATATTGAAAGAAAAAATAAAAAAATCTTGAAGGATGGAAAGTCGCTGTTGAGATATATGAAGAGCTGTTAAAACTAGTTTCTATCTGATTTTGACAATCTCATGTTTCGTTATTATTCACATTTATTTATTTATACTTTTACAACACAAAAAAAAAATTAGGGCGCAGGATGGTGCACTGGATCCTGCAAACAAAACGCTTATTTAATACCTTAAATATATAAAATATGAATGTAGGTTTAAAATTAATTAAGTAATTAAAATATTAAAATCATTAAATGAAAAAACCAACCGCCGCCCACCAGATCGGAATCTTTGTTGCTACCAGTAACTTTTGTAACGTTTATACAATGTTGAAGTGCATTTTGAACTTAATTTACTTTTTTCAAGTAAATTTATGTTATAGGTTGTTTCTTTTTCATTTTTTTGAAGGTTTTTAAAAGGTTCAGCATAACTCTTACATATAACTTCGTTTCCATTTGTTTTCGATTTTAATTATTTAATGAATAGTTTGTTTATAGATTATTAAAGATTATAGATTAAAGACTTTCACAAACTCTTTGCTTCTATAGCGATAATATATTTTTAATTTTGAGCTTTAAATTAATTTCAAGAAAATTGTAAATATTGAAGAACGTTTAAATAAAAGAGTTCTGGAATAAGGTCATAATGAATTAGAATAAATTAAAACTAAAGTAAATAAAAATAACTATTCTTCTAAAGGTCATAAAATGTCACTAAAATTGTGGTCATAAAGGTTACTAGAATTGTCATAAAGGTAAATGTCAATTATATTTTAAAAATTACAATTTTCTTCAAAATGATTATAATAGTATTGAAATTTTTTATTCAACTACGTAAATTAACGTGAATGAATTTTATTTATGATCAGAAGGATCTTTTAATTTCACAGATGTAAAGTAGTTACTTTGCAAGTGAGTGTACTACTAAAGTAGTTACTTTGCAAGATTCAAGATTATTTAAAATTAATTTAGATTCTGGTCTGATCCACCATCAAGCAGTAAAAAATTATCATTTTGAAAAAGTTTGATATGAAATTTTTGGTCTGACTTGAATCCATTTTTGTTGTTAAAAAAATCCTTTCAAAAAATGTATTTTTATAAGTCACCCTCGAATAACTTAATTTATGTTACTTTTAACTTCCATTCTTTGAAAAGCTTTCTTTGTAACTCCGTCGTATCGTCACTAAAATTCGCATTATGGTACAAACTCTTGTTCGAAAACTTCATCGTGTTAAATTTGTTCAGTACCCAGGTTTTGCTTTGTAATCAAGAAACCGAGCAACAATTGTGCTGTTTTTATTGCATATATTTCTAATAAAATTTCTATAGAAACCTGTATAGAAAAAATTAATTTCTATGAAAATTGCATTTAATTACATAGAAAAAGTTTTTTTCTATATAAATAAATGTAAAATAAAAATATGTTTTAAATGTAAAATAAAAATCTATTTTATTTGTAATAATAAAAATATATCTTATTACTCTTGATGAAAAATGGAAGTTTCGCAACCAATCCATTGAAAGTTAAATGTCTTGTTTTATAAAGTAATATTTCCGTACTTTATAAAACAAGACCATTTTTAAATACCAGTGCTCTGATGAAAATTCATTTTTCGTTTATTCACAGCTATCTTTCTTATTTTTCTTATTTTTATTTATTCACAGCCATCTTTCTTACTGCAACATTGCATGGGGAAGTACAAATTACGGAAAACTCCAAAAACTTTAAAGTTAACAAAAACGTACTTGTAGGATTGTATTTGGGGCAAACAGAACTGTGTATTGCGAACCACTAGTGAATCGTCGCAAAGTCTTAAATATATTTAAACTAAACATTTATTAAATATTACTTTTCATGTTTAAACGATACATGAAATATCTCCACTTGATTTTCAATCTTATTTTAGTGAAGTATCTCATAAGTATCGAACAAAGTTTTTAGAGAATAACTTTATTGTTCAGAGAATTGTTTTATTAATGAGTTCTTACCGAATTCAATATCGAGGACCTTTTTTATGGAAATATTTATTAAAAAGTTCATTAAAGAACACTACTCACTAAAAAAAAATTAAAAAGTTTCTAAAAGAACTGTACTTCAGTTATTAAAAGAACCGTATTTCAGTTATTAAAAGAACCGTATTTCAATTTGATTTTAATACAATAGACTTTAAATATATTTTTTAAAAGGTAATTTTAAAATAGAAAAAATGAAAAAAAAAAAAATAAATTTAAAAGTCATTTTATTATTTGAAAAAAGTTATGTATTTTTTAACGTTTTGTGTATATTTTATTTTTTTGTTTATAAACACAGACAATATGTAAACGAGGCTCGGTGATAAAACATTCAATGTCTTCTTCTTGCTCCAGCCAATATTTATATATCGTCGGTATACAAAAAAAATGCACAAGTCCAAAAACATCATTTTGAGATAATGAACAAATAAGTTTTTGTGTAATAGTTAAAATAATAAGTTGTGTAGTATATAAAATGATAGAGAATTTAAAATATTAAATAGTGTTAAACCAATGTTAAAAATTTTAAATACTAAATATAAAATAATTGTCTTTATTAATAACAATATCTAAAAAAATTATTAATAACAAAAATAAAATTAGTCAGAGCAATGTCTTTAATAAATGATTAGAATTTGTATAAAAAAAAATTATTAAATTTTCTCCATACGACAAGTTTATGGAAAAATAAAAACTGTAGCAAAATTTTGTTTCAGTAACTTGGAATACCTCTCACGACTATGTTATTATTGGTGCTGGGTCAGCCGGATGTGTTTTAGCAAATCGTCTTTCAGAAAATCCTAATAACAGTGTTTTGTCATTAGAAGCTGGTCCTCAAGATTCATGGTGGAATTGGAAAATACATATGCCGGGTGCTATTCAATACAATTTGCAAAACGACAAGTATAATTGGTATTATAATACAGTACCACAACCTCATATGAATAACAGGTAACTTACTGTACCACAACCTCACATGAATAACAGTTAACCTTTGTACAATCAATGTATAATAAAAGATATATTGTAAAAATAAAAATATATTTAAAATATGTTTTTATTTCTATATATATTTTTATTATACAGAAATTTTATATTTAAAACTAAATATAAAATTACTGCCATAATAAAAGTTAAAATTTTCTGAGGTTAAATGTTGTTTTGGAATTCAATGTTTCATGAGTTTGTAGAAATTAAAGTTTTCGCTGTGGTTTTTTTATCATTTTTTTGTTATTGTTGTTGTTGTTGTAGTTCTCCTCCGGCGAATTGCTATACATTGTTTTTAATAGTTCTCCCCCGGCGAATTGCTATGCATTGTTTTTAATAGTTCTCCTCCGGCGAATTGCTATACATTGTTTTTAATAGTTCTCCCCCGGCGAATTGCTATACATTGTTTTTAATAGTTCTCCGGCGAATTGCAATACATAGTTTTTAATAGTTTGTAAAAAGGTTTTTAGTACAAGACGTTGGGAGTGCTTGATTTCAGGGTTGTTATCTGTCAAATATGTTTGAGACATTTTCTGCCGACATAAAATATTTCCTCATATTTTATATTGACGTATTTTGAGATATTTTTATGTCTGAATTATTTTCTGCTGAATTATTTTCTGTTTGACGTATTTTTTATTGATATATTTGGTCACAACTTTATGTCGAACATATTTGCTGTTTCATATTCTAGAAGAAAAAATCAATTTAACAAATTTATTGCGTATGTCAGCTTATTTTAAAGAGTAAAATGAAAATAGTTTAACAAATTTGTTGCTTTTTTGCAATCAATTGTGCTACATAAAAACTTTATTTTAAACCCTACAAACAAACATCGGTTGTTTCATATATATTTCATTTTTTCCTAACCTTTTCAACCCTATATTATTTGGTAGTATTGACTAGGATTGATTAGTATTTAGCGATTTTTCCTAATTAGAATGTAAAAGCAATCTTGGTTTAATTTTTATTACAAAAAGTGATTTTTATTAGTAAGACCTAAAAGTGTAAGTTTGTTAAACGAAATTTGTTTTATTAACTAAATTCAGATGGTTTTAACCACTATAATAGAGTCTAAGAAATCATTTGAAATGCAGGTAAAAGTAGATGGATATAAACCAAAGCGAATTCAGAGAAATCACGTTCAGTTTATACGCTGGAGAACACAGCACCGTAAACAACTCTGGAGATTTCATACAGCCGATTACATTTTATTTTCTGATTTTTCTTCCAGTTAGCAAGAATGTTGGATTCAACATCTAATGTCACTTGCGTTTCATTAAAGACCCATTTAAAAATTGGTTGACAAATATCTTCATCTGATTCTAAAAATGCATTAACAATACCTTGTCTTGTTCGTCCTCCAGTATGTTCAATGAAAACTTTTTAATCAGTTTGTCGAGTATTTACTTTTGAAATGCTTCTGCATTAGTATAAAAATCTTCTATCATCAAAAAAGTCAACGTGACAAAAATCCCAACGTGATACAATGTATATACCCTGCTTTTTTTTAATTTTAAAACATTTGAATATATTCTACTTTTTTTGGATTCAATAAAAACCTTTCAGATATTGCATCTTCAAACATTGACGTTACGTCCTTGGCAGCTAACTGACACACATGTACGCCACAAAACATGGTTGAACAGAACAATCCAACTGATTTTTCAATGCAAATAGGGTGGGCTTCACTATAATTCCCGTATTCATTCATTAAAGCGCCTAAATCAATTTCCTCGTCTTCTAAATGTATAAATTCGTCTCCATAAATTTCCAGGATTACTTTCATTTGATTTTGTGAATTTTGGAGAATATTTGAAGCCGTTGTCATGTTCTGTTTTGTCCCTGATTTGTGCAAGTTGCCGTTGTCATGTTCTGTTTTCTCCCTGATTTGTGCAAGTTGCGTAGGTATCATTAGCACAATTTCCAGTTATTCCAATCACATTTTTCTTTTGAGCACCTAACATTTTGCTACACTGGTGACCTTTTTGAGTAATACCTAAGGTTCTATTTCCCCGTCCTTGAAATTTCTTTAGCTAACTTCAAACATGTTTCTTCTGTATCGCAAAACGCTATCAAACATCAACAACATAAGAACATTTTTAGTTTCTTTTGTTATTGAAAAAATATTTTTACATGCATGTGGGATATAGCCTTTAATACTATGACAATTTATAAAAATTTTGAATTCTTCAAGTTTTTTCTATTGTGTTTTAGAAAATAATCAATAAATTATTTTCCTTTTTTGACTTCAAATCATAATTAAAACAAAATAAATTACAAACAAAAAAAAATTTTAATTTATAATATATTTCACTCAAAACATATTATGCAAGTTTATGGCAGTTAAAAAGCAATTGTCAATTGTTTTTTTGTTAAAAAAGTCATTATTATCAATACTTTAAGTATATTATTCGTAATTAGTTATAAACTATTACCGGTTACCGGTAATTACCGCTTGGACTTCTTAACATGAATTTAAGGAGCTAAGTATAACTTTTGCGAAATGTTAAAAATTTTTTAATTTGACTTTAATTTGACACGAAGTAATTTAAATTCTGTGAAAATTTTTTTTCTTTTAAGAATCTTATGCGTTTCAATTTTGAGGCTCAACTATTAATTAAAAATAACTGAAAAATAACTGAAATAAACTTTGTTTTTTTAACTATTATTTTAATCAAAAGAATAATATTAAGTTTAGCAATACTAATAAAAACCACTATCTGTAATAAAAATTTCTTTTCAGATGGTTTTTACATTCTAATTAGGAAAATTGCCAATAGTAACCAATACTAATCAATGCTATTAAATGATAGTTGTTAAGAAGGGTAGAAAAAAATCTTTATGAAACAATTTACGTTTGTTTGTAGGGTTTAAAATAAAATTTTTATGAAGCATAGCTGATTGAACAAAAGCAACAAGTTTGTTAAACTATTTTTATTTTACTCTTAAAAAAAAGCTGAAATGCGCAATAAATTTGTTAGATTGATTTTTTCATCATATAAAACACCAAATATGTTACATAAAATTATGACCAAATATGTCTGACATATTTTATGTCAGCGGAAACTAATTCAGACATAAAATCATGTCAAAATACGTAGATAGAATATATGTGGGATATATTTATGTCAGCAGAAAATATGTCTGAAAATATGTCGGCAAATCTTACTGACATATTATGTCATAACAACCCAGTTTTTAATAATAGATCAATTTTTTTAAAGTTTCATATACCAAGTTTAAATGTAAAAACTCATATCATAAAAACAGATCGAACTAAACGTAATAAAAAAACAGCGTAAAAAATTAAATTACTTAGCAACAATACCACAATAATAAAATGAGCAGCATTTTATGAGGCATTTTTTTAGATAATATTAGACTGCTCTAAGAAATATTATCTAATTTTTGACCCTGAGAAATATCTTTATAAAAGACAATTAAACAAGGTCTTTTAGACGTCTAAAAAACGTTGTTTAGATGTCTTTTCAATGTTTACAGTTTACTGGCCCAAGGGGCATTTGTTTTAAAAAATTACGTCTTGAATTATTTTTTTAAATACATCTAACATATTTAAGACGTATACAATATTGTTTATATCAGGCCTTTTAGAAGACGTACCATGAACATTTTTAATAAAGTTTTATTTTTTTATTTATTTTTTATTTCAAGTGCCCCAAGAAGTCCTAACCGTCTTGTCACAGAGCATCGCGCGAGTGCATTTAACCAGAAATTTCACACCTCCTTCCTTACCGTGACGCGAAGCTCGTTTCTCCCGCTTATAAAGCAAGCGCTCTAACCACTGCGCCACGGCCGCACTTTTTAATGCGTCTTGTGTTTAATAAGTTTAATTTACATTTTACATGTGTATGATAGACTTGGTTGTAAATATTTTATAAATATTTTAATTTTAAGCATCCTTAACATTTTTTGAAACTTGACATTGTTTGAAAACTATGGTCTTTTAATCCAGAGTATATTTTTTCTGAGGGGGAAGAGCTATTATACTACTCTTAAGGTGGTAAGGATGTAAATAATGATCGAAAAAAAATATTTTGTGAAATTTTTTTTTATGGTGGATTTTCACCCTTTGATATGTCTATTTTCATGCAACTAACATTGGAAACAATAAAAAATATTTCTTGGTCCATATTTACACTTTAAAACACTGTAAGGTAATATCAGAGTCCATAGCAACGTACCTAGTTACCGTAAACAGAAGTTTATTCTTTATTTTCCTATCATAATATGTGCCTTATTTTACTCAGTACATTCACATGGATGTATCTGCAATCTTTAGCGGTCTAAATATCATATTTTGAAGTCACAAACGTTACTCAGACAGATAAATAAGCTGATTGAACATTTTATACTTTATATTATTTACAAAAATTTGTTCTTTAGAGAACCGTATGTCTTTGAATTTAGACTGTTTTAATAATTAATACAATGGAATTTCATGAAGATAGTAGTAAAAATAAGAATATAAATAACACATCAAAAAGTAAAAAAGCAAAAAAAGAAAATGGAATGGTATTGTTTCAAAACAACCAAAGTTTACTGTGACACCTTGTGTTATTGGTGAATCCTTTCAATCATCCTCAGCAAAAAAGATTTCTTATACTGTTGATCAGTTTAACTCAGAGGGTTTGGTTGATAATATTGAAGACTTTTTCTTATTTCTTCATTTTAATGTGTTAGCAAATATTTGTCGTGAACTTATATCATGTCCTGATTGTGTTGCTAACGTTGTTGTTATTGATCAATATTTAAAGCGAATGGGTTTTGCACATTGTATTCTTATAAAATGTTCAATATGTGATTGGATGAAACCTTTTTATACATCTCCTAAGACTTCCTACAATCTAAAAATTGATTTTAGAGGTCGCAAAACATTTGATGTAAATGCCCGAGCTGTAATTGGTTTTCGGGAAATAGGTTGTGTATTTTCATTTATGCAGAAATTTTCCTCTATCATGAACTTGAAGTACATGGCATCATTCTCTTTTAAACTGTTGAACAAGAAATTAATGACAGCCTACAAAAATGTTGCAGAGAGTAGTATGAAACGTGCTGCTGAAGAAGCTCAAAAAATAGATTTAGCAGATAACATAAAATGTGTACGTGTTTCCATTGACGGTTCCTGGCAAAAAAGAGGACATGCCTCTTTGCATGGGGTAGTAACTGCGATATCAGGTGATAAGTGTTTGGATATGGTAGTAAAGTCAAAGCACTGCTTTGGATGCAAAATGTGGGAGAATAAAAAAGGTTCACTTGAATATGATTTATGGAAAATTGATCACCACTGTCAAATAAATCATGAAAAATCCTCTGGTGCGATGGAGTCATCTGGTGCTGTTGATATATTTAACCGGTCAATTATTAAGCACAACATAATTTACAAAGAATATCTTGGTGATGGTGATACTACCTCTTTTAATGATGTTGTTAAATCTGAACCATATGTAAAACATAGTTTAACACCGATTAAGCTTGAATGCGTTGGACATGCGCAGAAACGATTAGGAACCCGATTACGCAACCTTGTTAAATCTTACAAGGGTACAAAAACTCCTGTCTCTGAAAAAGGTCAACTGACGGATAAATGTATTGATTCCATGCAAAATTATTATGGTATGGCAATTAGATCAAACCTTTCCAATGTTTATGCTATGAAAAAAGCCATATATGCAATACTGTTTCATTTCACAAACACAAATGATCCGCTTGAGCGTCATAAATTTTTCCCTCGAGATACCAACAGCTGGTGCAAGTACTGTTCCAAGTGCCAAAAGGAATATAAACCCTCCAATACAATCTCTTTTTGGATAAAGAGTCTTCTTCTACCGATTTTTAAGGATTTAATGGATGAAAATTTGTTAAAAAATGTGTGCATGGAAAATCCAGAATGCAAAAGAGGCCCTAAATGAACTGATATGGTCAAGGTTACCAAAAACTGTATTTGTTGGCAGAGAAACCATAGAAATGGGTGTAAATTCAGCTATTATTCATTTTAATGATGGACGCAAAGGAATATTGAAGGTTTTAGAACACATTGGTTTGAAAGGGCAAATTTCAAAGGCAACTGCAACAAATTTAGATAATTCACGCATTAAGCGAATGGAAAAGAAGTTCACGACTGCAGAAAAAAAGCATAGAAAAAGATTGCGAACCAGAAAAAAAGGATTTTTTGATAAAATGAATGAAAAAGAATCTGTAGATTCATATCAAACTGGTGCTTACTGAGGAGATTATTTATTTATACTTATTTTTTTAACATTTTATTTTTGTTTTGCATTTTTCTCTGTTTTCAATTTTTTGCATACTTGCTATAACTCAAAACATGATAACTCGAGATAGAGTTAAGCATTTAACTTGAAATTTTCAATTTGTGTTTAATATGATCTAATACTCCGGATGACCCATGGGTTTTACATAAAATACTTATTATCTTAAGAAAATTCAGTTTAGGTGAAATTTTGTATGAATATTTGTTGAAAAAAAGTAGTATTTTCACAAAAACTTGAATAACTCTTAGAGTAAAAGGATTTATGCAAATCCTTTATCATCCGGGTCATCCGGAGTATAATATAATAATATACATATGGACAAAAGGATTTTCAATTTTGCTTTTGCTTTATCAAGATACCATGTTTTAAAAACATCATTTGTAAGGGTCAAAATTAACAAACTTTCCGCCATTATGGATTTTCTGTTTAAAAATAAAAAAATTTTTTTTTGCTAACTATTTCTCGTAATGTATTTAACAGTTTTAATAAACTAAAAAATGTTGCATTGACGAATTTCAGAAAGTAGCTTATTTGCATCCCTACCACCTTAACATGGTTTATACTATGGAATATTTACCAATTATTTTTTTAGAATAATGTATTGGCCACGGGGTAGAGTATGGGGAGGATCATCAGCACTTAATGGAATGGTGTATGTACGCGGACATCCTCAAGACTTTGACCGATGGGAAAAAGAAGGTGCTAAAGGATGGTCATATAAAGATTGTTTACCTTATTTTAAAAAGGCACAAAATCATTCTTTTGGTAATGAATATGTTTTAATTTTAAATTAAATTCTACTTTACTTTTTTTACCTTTTATCTAAAATAATTTTTTTTTAATGTTTTATTACAAATTTATTCATTTAGACACTTTGCTACCGGTAGATTGTCTTTGCTACCGGTTGATTATTGTTGCTACCGGTAGATTATCTGTTTTTTTTTATATATATAGTTGATTTCTCCTCATCTATTTTATACCTTCAGAATTTTTTGGTTTACTTTTTGAATTTATGGATCTCACCTAGCAACTACAAGTGAAATTATGTACCATTGTAATGTATTTCAGTAGAATGCCTCGGATTTTTTCTGCTGTTTAAATGTTTTAAATAACATCTATATTTACATGCATTTATTGAAAAATTTGCAAAAAAATTTGCTACTTTAAGAAACATTTAGTTCTTGATATGGAAAGAAATTTGCTGAAGAAGTCACAAAAATATTTGTTAAAAATGAAAACAAAAAAATAAACACTGAAATAATAAGGAGTATATTACTTCTACCTAATATTACAGAGCCAGATAAAATTGGGCCCATATATTGCAATATATCTATAAATTTAAATTTATATTTCTCTCATATAATGTGAAAAATATAACTTTTATACCATCAAAGTGAGTGTTGTTACTCTAAAATAAAATATTTTTTATTAATACAGTTTTTCTTTACAATTTAAAATTGCAAATTTTAACTCTGCCTGTTATCTACTAATGTGATTACAGCTCAAAAACACAGTTTAATGGTTCTAAAGGTGGTAAGAGTTCCGAAAATCTGTTGTAGCTCTTAGAGACGCTGATTCTATCAACAACTGTAAAATTATGGAGCATTAACAGTACCAAGTTACGCATAGATAATGTCCTTGTTAAGGCTTTTGGTGTGCATTGTTGAGGCCATATAAGGAGCCCTTTGGGTTCAAAACGAGAATGGAACAACTGCATAGCTCATTTCTTGGGATGCCGTGTTCTATCAACAAATGAGTCAAGTTCTCTTTAAACCAAAACCATGCCCAAAGTAATCCAAAATATTAAAACTAAAAACCACCCTCACCACCTAACTTTTTCAATATAACTTCCACAAATATTTGTAGTCTTCAAAGTAACATCAGTTAAATCTCTTGAAAAGTTCATCAGACCTGCTTGCTCTTTGTGAAACTAATTTAAATATGGCTGTTCCTTCTGCAGATCTCAGTATTGATTGGTACTATCTTTTGATTTGCAAAAATTCTAATAGTTACATGCTCAACTTGGGGGTATACATACGCATCAATTCACCTATTTGTCGTGAAATCAGGTTCGAATCCTTTATTTATTCTTTTATTGATAAGATCCAGGCAGGAAAGGAAACTTTTTTTATTATTATTAGTTTCAAGTTAAGACATATTCTACTCCATGGTTTTCACCCTCTTGTGCAGCTGTTATATCTAATTGTAATCATTTTTTTTTTTTTCATCTTTTTCAAAAGAACAGCTCGCTTGAGAATAAACGCCCAGTTATTATTGCAAGATATTGGTGTAAAATGGTGCTGTCAGATGCTAAGCTCCATTATTCTTAGTTTACTAAATCTCGCATCTTATCTTAGAAGTTAGGCTCTAGAGACTTTCGGAAAGAAAAATTTGCAAAGAACTTTTTTTTTAATTTGAATCTTAAATCTTATGGCCTACTATTTCTTCCATTCCAATTAAACAGGTTCACTCATTGTTAGACATTCAAATCACTTCAGCTTCCGTTGTTAAAGTCATACCTCAATTAAACTCTTCTGCGGCTTTTAGTCAAAACAACATTTTTTTCATAGTCTTAAAAAAAGTGTATTCCATAACTCTTTTCAATTCTCTCTAAACTATTTATTAAGTGCTTGACTGAATCTTGTTTTACTGCCTGCTAGAAAATGGCATCTTTGTTCAATTTTTAAAAACTCTGAAGACCATTTTAACCCCTCCAAATATTGTCCGATCAGTCATCTATTTGTAGCTAGCAAGTTCTATAAATCTTTTATCAGAAGATTTTTAGCATCAAATCTTGAGTCAAATAACTTACTGTGAGACAATCCATACGTTTTTCGATCTTCTCCCTGCACTGCTGATTTGCTAACTGCTGTGGTTGAAAGATTTTATTGTAAACTATATGGAGGCTGCGAGGCTAAAACTACTACTCTTGACGTTTCTAAGTTATCGACAAAATTTGGCAAGCTTGTGATCTTCATACGCATGGTACATCTAAGAAAGTTATTGAGATTATCAATTCATTTTTTTCTAATTGCTTTCTTAAAGTCATTCTTAAGTCAACGCCAACACTCTTCCTCATTTCCAGTAACTTCTGTGGTACCTCAAGGTTCTATCCTTGGTCCTTTTGTTTTTTATATACTTTGATAATCTTCCTTACAACCTTACATTTATATTGGCTCTATTTGCTGATGATTCAACTTTATAATCCTGTCTTGACAAAAAGTCTTCTCTTTTCGATTCCTTAGAACAGACAGCCGATATTGAACCTGATCTCACTTTTGTGGCAATTGAGGCTTGCAGTAACTTGTGAACTTTAATTCCAAAAAAAGTTGTTAACTGCAAACAACTATCGCAATACTGTAAACATTTCGAAAATGATAAATCGAAAACCTCTCAATGAGTCTTTTCTTTCTGCTTTATTGGATTATTGTTCACTACTGACCTCTTATGGAAACCACATATACAATCAATTGCTAAATTAGTATCTGCTAGATTCTAATTTAGCAAATGACCCGTAAAAAACGGATCTACACAAAACCGACCATCTCTATACTTATATATTCCACAGCGTATTTAATTTAAAAAAAATTGCTTTATGGCAAAAGAAATTAACATACGCATCTTTTCCGCATACGTACAGGTTCTAAGAGATTAATAAAATGTTTTTTTTTTTCTCTCGCATGCTTAGTTTTGATTGCTCATTCGTATCATCTGTGTCGTTTTGTAAGGGTTCAAATCTGCATTATTTTAAAAATTCTCTTCCTTTTGTTTGTTACAGTATATGATATCTTTATAATATATTATTTACATTTATTACTTTATATACATTGCCGCAATGTACTTATTACTAAGGTGCTTATTAATATAAAACTATTACTTTGAAAGATTATTTTTGTATAATTTTAATTTAAAACTTTTGATACTTTTTATAAAAAGCAAACAAAAATAAAACAGCAAACAACAAACTTTAAAAATGAGATTATCCAAGACCTGAATGACATTTTCATTGTTTTCTGTAAAGTTTTCTAAAATTTTTATAATTTTCAGCTCCTTATATAGAATTTTTATATAAACAGGAGCTGAAATTATCTTTCAGCTCATGTTTCTTCAGATGTTAAAGGAAAAATTATTCTTTGATGGTGGCGAATTCGACAACTAAAATTGTTTGATATTGCATGTTGAGTTTCCTAATGATCTTTTTTTTATTTTTTTTTTAGTAATCTTTTTAAAAGCTTCAAAGCTAATGACAGGTTTACTTGCTTATTTCTATCTCATAATACTTGCCAAAAAAAAATTGTTATAGTTATTTTAGGGAAAAATTGAAAAAGCGCTGACTTCATTTTAACATATTTTTTTTTCAGTTAATTAAAACTTAATTAAATTTTAATAATTAGTTATGCTTTAAATATTTTTAACGATTATCACTTTCTATGCGTAGTTCACAGTCCTTAAATTTACTTGATTTATTTTTTATAGGTGAAGATCAGTATAGAGGTGGAAATGGTCCACTACATGTAACCAGAGGCTCAATGGAAAATCCACTTCAACAAGCGTTTCTGGAAGCAGGTCAACAAGCTGGTTACCCATACACTGAAGATGTAAATGGCTATAAACAAGAAGGTATGGGACAATACGATAGAACTATTTACAAAGGAAAAAGATGGAGTACATCACAGGCTTACCTTCACCCTGCGTTGAAAAGAAAAAATTTGGATGCTCAACATGGAGCTTTTACAACCAAAATTTTGTTTGAAGGTACAAAAGCAATAGGTGTTGAATATGTTCAAAATTCTGAGATTCGAAAAGCAAAAGCAAACAAAGAAGTGATCTTATCTGGAGGAGCTGTTAACACCCCTCAATTGATGATGCTATCAGGCATTGGAGATAAAGAAGAACTTGCTCGTCATGGTATACAATGTGTTGCACATGTTCCAGGAGTTGGTAAAAATTTGCAGGATCATCTTGAATTATATGTTCAACATGTAAGTTAAAATGAATGCATATTATTTCTACTATTATTTTTTATGATTTATAAAACAATTTTTTACGTGGCATAAAAACATTTTTATTAGCGTTGTCTTCAACCTATAACGTTATATAAGCACAAACAACTTTGGAGGATGCCATTAGATGGTGCAATATGGCTTTTGAGTAAAAAAGGAATCTGCAGTACAACCAGCATTGATGTTGGGGCTTTTATTCGCTCGCGAGAAGGAATACCCCATCCAGACATTCAACTAATTTTGTTACCATTTCTTGTCAGTGATCATGGGAGAAAAGAAGAAAAAGGACATGGTTATCAAGTTAGTTTTATTTATATTTTTATTAATGTAAAAAAACAATATATTTTTTTTATGATACTCCGCTTTTCTTAGGTTCATGTAGGAACCTTACGTGCAACGAGCTCTGGGTATATTGCACTTAAATCTGTAGATCCAAAGGATCATCCTTTAGTAAATCCAAACTATCTTGCCACGCAAGAAGACATAGTTGATATGAGAGAATGTGTTAAATTAACACGCGAGGTTTTGTCACAAGATGCCTTAAAACCATTTAGAGGCGAAGAGCTGCAGCCAGGTTTTGAATAAATTTTTTTTAATCTAAAAATATTTTGAAGGGTTTTAAAATAATTAAAGTGAAAATAAAAGTAATGTAAAAGTAAAACATAAGTAAAGTTTGTATAATTTTAAATTTAAAAGGTTTAAAGGTAAAGACAGATGCAGAAATTGATAAATTTGTTAGAGAGAGAGCTGAGACAAACTATCATCCATGTTGCTCTTGTAAAATGGGGAACGAAAATGATCCAATGGCTGTAGTTGACAACCGAATGCGAGTTTTTGGTATCGAAAAACTGCGTATTGTTGACGCCTCCATTATGCCGTCTAATGTTAGTGGTAATTTAAATGCATCAGTAATAATGATCGCAGAAAAGGCTGCAGATGTTATTCTTGGCAAAAAACCTTTACCGCAGATTACCGCTCCAGTTTATGAAACTCCTACGACTGGTCAAAGATAATTTATTTAAAAACCATATAAGAGCTCTTATTCCGTAAAAAGCTCTTAAAAATATAACTTATTTTTTGATTAACTGAAAAAGATAAATTTTAAATTGACATGGTAGTATATTTTTTAGTAGTTATATGATTATCTTTTTTTAAAATTTTACAACAATCACTTATTATATTTTTCAAAAATAACAAATAATTTTTTTTTATCCGTAAGTTTGCAATTTTTAAGATATTTAGAATTTTTGTGTTTATAAATTATACTAACAGCCGGAGCAATGATATACACATAATTTTCTTATTGCCGAGCCCTTAATAATCTGAAAATAATATATATTCACATATATAAGTGTTGAAATAAGCATATATTTCATTTAAAACCATATAAAATATAGAAAAAAATTAAAAAGTATTTAAAAAATTTAAAAAGAATTAAAAGAATTTAAAAAGTATTTAAAAAATTTAAAAAGTAACAACAAACTTCGAAATTTGTTTTGAGTAATATTAACAAAAGTTGTCATGTTACCCAGAAAAAATTATGAGCAAGCTGAAAATTGCTGGAAATGTTCAGCATGCGCTCCTCATTAATTGGATAAAATCGACCAAATTCGGACTGAAGCTTTGTCTAAAACCTAAGATAGCGTTTAAAATGATATTCGTATTATCATTCGTGGAGTTTGTTCTCAGGCGAACTCTACGTTTCTAAACTGAAATCTAAAATAAATTAATTTTTAAATAACCATATTATTTACAATTATGAGAAATTTGTTCTTGTTTGCTTGCGACAATAAAGAAATTACTTTTCGTTTAATTTATTATATTTCTCACTAAAAATTTATAGATGACCCCTTTGCAGTCAGTTATTGACTGCAAAGGGATCGTCCATAAATTGCGCAACCCTAAATTTCACTAATAAACGAAACAAAAAAGTTCAAATTTTTTTCTCTCGCAGAGCCTTAAGTTAAATAAAAAAATCTATCAAGTTTAATGAAAATAGCCGAGTAAAAAAGCTGATTTACTCTCTAGCGGTTATTTAGACGAGATTTACAACACAATATTAACTTTTGCCAGGTGCAGTTTTATAAGAAGATAAATTTATTAAAAGAAAGCTTGGGGTCCACTTAATTTAGAACAAAATTTAGTGTTCAACAAATTAAGTGATTAACTCTATGATAATGACGAATGTCAGCATTTAACTTCCAAATTAAATGATAATTTTTTTGATTTTTTCCCTCTGAACCTGTACACAGAGAAATTAAACTTCAAGCACGTTTTGGAAATTAATTACTAATTACAACCATTCCTGGCAAAAAATAAGCAACGTCGGATTGTTAAGACAGCTGCAGCAATTATTCGAGAGGATATACGGTGTCGTGTTTATGAATTAAAACAATAGCCTAGATTTCAGAATATGATGGTTACCTCACAGGAACAAGTTCCAAAAAGCTTACGAATTTTTGTTGAAAACGGCCTGAAATATTTGTTATAATATTTCAGGCCGGATTGCCAGAACTAATTTTTTATTTTTTTAAGGCATGTGACACAGGCTGTTTAAATTAAATCAAAAAATCATTGTCCTAAATGGCAATGAAGAACTTTAGGTAAACCTAGGAAAAAATACAAAATTCTTAACAAATACACTGTAATTTTAGGTGAAGCTACAGTATATCGGAATAAAATAATTTTATTTTTTCGTTTGTTGCGCTCTCGTTAGTGAAGAGTTTTTAAACATTAAAAATTTTAATTGAAATATTAAAAGAAAAAAAATGCGGTGGTGATGACTGAGGTTTGAGATTAGTTTTGATTGCATGCAAAGCATCAGTGGAGGTAATTGTACAAAATGTTATAAAAATTTCTACAGGGGGAGATTTCTCTATAATGAAATCAAATTTGGGATTGTAACAAGTCTTTCTTGGACATTTTTTAAATATTTTTAGTTTGCTTACAAAGTATCGTTTAATTGAATTACATTTTGCTTCTTGGTGCGTTATTAGTTTTAGGATTATTTGCATGAAGAATTTCTTTGGCATCCATGTTTCTTTTTGATTACGACGTGCTGAGTTTTCCAGCTAATCACATTATAATTTTATAATGTAATTAGCTTGAGATTTCAATTTTAACAAGTTAACATGGAATAAAGGTGTAGCATACACACCTTTTTTTTTAATTTGTTATTTAGGTGCTCCAAGAAGTCCTAACGGTCTTGTCACAGAGCACCGCGAAAGTACATTTAACCTGGAAATTCATGCATCCTTCCTTACCGTGACACAAAATGTGTCCAAAACATGTTTGATGCTGCATCTTCAACAACCATAAATATTTCAAAATCTGAATAAGAAACATGATCTTGGCATTACCATTACATCGAATAGCAAGTGGGATACACACACTTGCGAAATTGCATTTAAAGCTAATAGCATTTTAGGATGGATAAAAAATTCACTTATCAGCAGAGATAGCAAAGTATGAAAGAAATTATACACAGTTTAATTCAGATCGCATTAAAAATTTGGAACTCCAGCGTGTGAGAATCATTCAAAATCAACAGATACAAAAGTACGACATGGTCTAAAACATTTCCGCTATAAAAACGCTTGCACCTTAATTTAGACACTTTAACAGGCAGAAGAACGCGTTTTTATTGCATTGAATATTTTAAAATAGAAAATAAAATTGATAGAGTAAACTGGCATGTTGAACCATTGATAGCAGAAACAAAGTACGGTCACTGTAAACGCTTACGCCAACACAATTTTTTCACTAATAAAGTAGCGAATCTGTAGTTTTTTTGTTTTGTTTGTAATTTATTTCGTCACTACCCAGCTAGCACACATACGTTGTTAAAACATTAGAACAATATCGCGCGTTTCGTTGGCCCAACATTTGTTTTTATATCATTATGGTTACAAATGCAACATCGCCAACAACTCAAAACCAATGTTGATATAACGTTTATTAAAAGTCGGTTATATTTTCTAAGTTGATTCAACGTTTTATTTTATACGTTGGCCCAACGTTGTATTTATGTTGATTCAACGTTGAACTTTAATTGGCAAAACGTTGTATACGATATTATTCGGAATTAAATTTTCATTAAATTCTATTTTTTATATATATACAATATATATATATATATATATATATATATATATATATATATATATATATATATATATATATATATATATATATATATACATATATATATATATATATATATATATATATATATATATATATATATATATATATATATATATATATATATACAATATATATATATATATATATATATATATATATATATATATATATATATATATACAATATATATATATATATATATATATATATATATATATATATATATATATATATATATATTATTTTTATTATTTTTTTTTTTATAAAATATTATTTATTTACAAAATTTTATATATTTACATTAACTCAACGTGTTAAAAATTTATATATTTTTTTTTTTTTTTTTTTTTTCTTTTTTGTGGTTTTTTTAATTTTATATTTTTTTGTATTTTTGTATTTTATATTTTTTTGTGTTTTTTGATTTTGTATTTTTTTGTATTTTTTGTTTTTTTATTATAATGTCATTGTGCGGAGAGAAATCGGAAGGTTTAAAAGAGTTAAAGAGGAAGATGTTTTAAGAAAAAATTACAAGTAGTTTTTATTTAAAGGAAGAAATTTATAACAAAATAATAGAAAAATAATTACAAGACTTTTACACAAACACCACATTACGTACGCTACAGAAAAATGTATAAAAAGGGAAATTTTAACTCATAAAATAAAGGCTGGCAGTGACTGTTTAATCATAAATAATAATATTTTGTTGTAAAAATAATAATTCGTAGAGAAATGGAAAACATCACTAAAAATATAGTTCTTTTTATTTAGCTAGTGTATCAGCTTAGTTCATATGTTTAGTTTAAGGTTCCCATTCTCTACTTGGCATATATTATATTTTTAACACAAAAATGTTGACAGAAAATGTCCGTGGTGTTTCTGAGGACATGGTAATTATATTTTAATGTAATAATATTCCTGATTTTCCTAATTATTACCCTAATCACTGCCATTGGGTCAATTTTTATGTTTCTAAACGTGTGGTGACATCTGCTGTTCCATATCTCACACATGATGGTTTGAGTGAGTGTTGAGTGGGTTCTTTTCCGAGAAAATTCGCGGTCCCGATAAAGAAAATCGAATTTATCGGAGAAAAAATATTTTGGGATGTCATGGAGTTATATACATGTTTAAAATATTCCCAAATATCAACAGAGGGAGGACAGTAGCCAAAGATGTGAAGATTGACCTCGATTTTACCACAAGGTTTACATTTGTTGTTTTTGACAATCTGTTGCCTTGTGCTTTTGGCTAGCAAGGCCACAGAAGGTAGACTGTTGTGTAAAAATCGAAAGAGGATGTTTTGAGTCGGTCCACATGCGTGGGAGGTAAAGTTTTTTTTCCAAATTTGGGTCCAAGGTATTGTTGTTTTTGTTGAACTGTTCCAGAAATGTTCTGCTGGTACGACTGTCTTTTTGTTTTTTGCCACTTCTAAGTAAAAATTTTTTGTTGATTTTAGGGGAATGTTAAAAAGGGACCCGTTTTTGCCTAATATTTCAATAGTTGTTTTGTAGTAATGAGACATTTTGTTGTCCCAGTGTTTTGGAAAATTATTCTGTTTTGAAAAAATCCAGCTTTGGTTTGGGTCTGAAAATTTTATAAGTGAACTTGCCAACCAATACTTTGAAAAGTAGTAAAAATCATGAGTTTGGTCCTCTCCGCATTCTTTCAATTGATAGAGTGTTTTGAGGTGAAGTGCAAGACTTTGCTCCTTTGGAGATAAAATTCCAAGACCCCCGCTTTTGACGGGTAAAAAAAGTGTCTCTCGTTTGACCGGGTTGATATTGGTCTTTTGCCACAGATTTTCAAAAATGGCTCTATGCAAACGGTCTATTACCCAATCAGGAGTAGGCAACACGTTTGATAGAAACTTTTGACATTGCTAACGTATTTATCAAAATAGTCTTTCCCCTAAGTGACAAAGTACGTAGTTCCAGAAACTTGAGTTTTTTCTCTATTTTGTTTAG